TAATTTGATTACCTAACCCAGAGGCTTGTGCAGCAAGCTAAAACATCAGCTTGTTGCTAACTGAACTTTTGAACTTTTCGTAAGAAAAGGAGATGTCAGTAAGAGACGAGTCAAATTTATGAGTGCATAAGCATGAGCAACCCAAAACCTTTCATTTTGGTAGGCATTCCCATAACAGCGAAGAGAGAAATCCCCCACTTCTTATGCCAAGTAGGCAAAGTAGTGCTTTCTTAGTTCAATATATTCCAGTTGTAGCTGGTGGTTTGAGGGAGTCCCAGAAAGAGAGGAATTTGAATATAACTAACAAGAGAAACTGTCGTTTGAGGAGAAATCCCTGTAGAGATTTCATATTGTTATCTGTGTTGGTTTAAAAAAAAAAAAAGTGAAGCACCGTGATTTGGTAATTGTGCTTTTATCAATAAATTTGGTTTTTGAAGAAAACATTCTGAGTTTGATCCTTGCTTTCTTTCCTTGATTGTTGAGTAATAAGAAAAAATCTTGCAAGAGGAAAAGAAACCACCTTTTTTAGAGAAAACCACTCATGGTTCTAACCTGTGTAGTTTGGCCAAATGGACAAACATTTTTAAAAATATCAGAAATGGACAGTTTTGAAACATCAGACATACTTGGTTTTGGGCAGGCCTAATAAGCAAATCAACACAGAGCTAACGTCACCTTCCGGGGGCAAGTTCCCCTTTCGGTGGGCGCTGGTGGCGGGGGCCAGCAGGCGGGCTGCCAGCAGCCGAGGTGGGGCTTTCTCCTTTGCATGGGGTGGTTTGGACCTTCCTCTCCTCCCCCTGCGCTTCCTCCCCGGTCCCGCTGGCTGCCTGATGGTTCTTGCCGAAGCTATCGGCAGCAGTGTCCAGAACGCCCCTCGACTTTGAGAGGTCGGCTTTTCTCTCCACAGCCAGGGCTCTCCAGCGCTGCCAAAACTTGGAACGAGTGGGCAGTTAGGATTTGAGAAGAGGTTTCCCACTGTCTTGGCTATGGTTTCACGTGCCGGAGGGGCTGCTCCTGCTACCTGTCCTCTGTGGCCGCTTGCCTGAGCCCACGCTTGGCTGGTTTGGGCAGCTGCACAGGCAGCAAGCTGTTGGGTAGCCAGGGGTTTCTGATGGATTTGCACCTCGGATTGGCTCCCCATGGGCACAGGCAAACTAGAGCTGGCAGGAGCACACGGCTGGTGTGGGGGAGAGGAAGCGAAGCGGCATCTCCCCCTTTTGGGTGGCAGCTCGCCATTGCATTGACCTTGCCAGACCATGAAGCTGCATCCTCAACATGCAGATCAGATCTTGTACGTGCAAGGTTGTTCACACTTGAATACTATGTTTTATTATCACGGTAATCAGGAATGGATAGTGAGAAGATGATGGTGAAGGACAGCAGTGTTTCCTATTCTGCCCTTTTCCACTCCCCACTGTTGGTGACCCCAAGTCACTCTGTTCCCCTTTCCAGATGGAGTTAGAAATGGGTGTCCATTCAGAATTGGGTTTTTATTTTAATCAAAGATTGTGCAGATTTGCAGTCAAACTTCAAACTGAGATGAATATGATTTCAGAATAGTTTGCAGTCATTGTTTTTACTTTTCACAAAGAAATAAAAGGCTTTACAGTGTCTCCTAGGTACTCCTAGTTACTGTACACTGGAATCGTAGAACCACAGAATGGTTTGGGTTGGAAGGTTCCTTCAAAGTTCATCTAGTCCAACTCCCTGCTGTGGGCAGGGACATCTTTCATTAGATGAGGTTGCTCAAAGCCCCATCCAACCTGGCCTTGCACACTTCCAATGATGAGGCATCCACAGCTTCTCTGGGCAACTTGTTCCTGTGTCTTACCACCTTAATTGTAAAAAACTTCTTCCTTATGTCCAATCTAAACCTACCCTTTTTCAGTTCAGAACTGTTGCCCCTTGTCCCGTCACTACAGATCTTGGTCAAAAGTCTCTCTCCATCTTTCTTACAAACCCCCTTTATATATTGAAAGGCCGCAATGAGGTCTCCCTGGAGCCTTCTCTTCTCCAGGCTGAACAACCCCAACTCTCTCAGCTTCTCTCCATAGGAGGGATGTTCCATCCCTCTGATCATTTTTGTGGCTCTTCTCTGGACCCACTCCAACGGGTCTGTGTTTGTCTTGTGCTGGGGACCCCAGAACTGGATGCAGTACTCCAGGTGGGGTCTCACAAGAGCGGAGTAGAGGGGGAGAATCGCCTCCCTTGACCTGCTGGTCACGCTTCTTTTGATGCAGCCCAGGATATGGTTGGCTTTCTCGGCTGCAAGCGCACATTGCCAGCTCATATCCAATTTTTTATCTACCAAAATCCCCCAGTCCTTCTCGGCAGGGCTGCTCTCAATCCATTCATCCCCCAGCCTGTACCGATACTGGGGATTGCCCTGACCCATGTGCAGGACCTTGCACTTGGCCTTGTTGATTTTCATGAGGTTCACATTGACCCACTTCTCAAGCCTGCCAAGGTCCCTCTGGATGGCATCGCTTCCCTTAAGTGTATCAACTGCATCACTCTGGTATCATCCACAAACTTGCTGAGGGTGCACTCAATTCCACTATGTCATTAATAAAGATACTGAACAGTATCGGTCCCAGTATGACCCCGAGAGACACCACTTGATACTGATCTCCATTTGGATGTTGAGCCGTTAACTGCAACTCTCTGGATGCAGCCATCCAGGCAATTCCCTATCCATTCAATAGTCCATCCATCAAATCTGTATCTCTTCTATGTAGAGAGACAGGGATGTTGTGTGAGACTGTGTCAAAGACCTTACAGAAGTCAAGATAGATGACATCAGTTTCCCTTCCATTATCTGCCACGCAGTCACTGTAGAATAATATACAGAATAAACCTGGCATGTTTTGATGGTTCACTTTATTTGGTCCCTTCATGTCAAGTGGCATACGTATGATGTGAACAGACTGCTGAGACTACTATTATTTTCCATCACCATATTCTAAAAATACTGTTAAAGAATTTTGGTAAAGAATAGATCTCAAAAGTATTTTTAATTAATATCTTGGAATAGGAAAGTACACTTTCCTCAACTTACAGTTACTCATCCGTAAACAGGCTAGTTATTTAACAGACCCAAACCGAGTATGGTGAAACGAAGAACCCTCAACCTTTTGCTGCAGCTGCAAAAGAGGCTATTGCTATCAAATGCTAGTTTCTCATTTCAACAAAACCTGGTTCCAGGTGCTCAGGCAACGGCTTTCCTTAGTTTCATGGTTTGATTTGCTTTAAAACTTTGGCATAAACCCTGTAATTTACCGTTAACTATGCTCCCAAATGTAACCAGTTTAGACTATGTAATAGGTAGTGATAATTTGAAATTTAACTTAAGTATACTTGTTTCCAAAAATAAAAATACTGATTTTCATGTCAAATATCTAAAATAAGCGCAACTCCCACCACCACCATCCATTGTTACCCATCTTAGATTTCTTCAGGGATGTTTGCATGCAAAGGGAAGTATCAGGTTCCTACTTCCAAATAGAGAAAAATCATTATGTAGTCTCAGAAGCCTCTACTTCTATAATATTTCATTTTTGCTTTTCAGTTATAATCAATATTACCTGTTTTGCCAATGCTAGCATTGGGAGAAAAGCCCTAAGAGATTGATGTGCAGGCAGAATGGGAATAGCATGACTATTTTTATGTTTCTGACATCAGTGTCCTGGTTTATCTAATGTTGTATGACACAGTGACTAAATGCTCCATAGTATTCCATCCCCAGTGAGCCAAACATCTTTTCCAGTATTACCCCTTGTTTCAAAAGGTGTAGAAGCTTTTATAAAATAATTTGCTAATTTGGGGTGTTCTCTTACTGTCTGTCTGGAAAGCTAATAGTCTCTTTACTTTTCATAAACAATATTTCTACACCACATTAATGTATATTCCTAATTGGATTCTCATGGGTCAGTGAGAGATAATTCATCGGCTTCCTACTTCAAATATGGCATTTTTAAAACTATCATGAAGCATTGTTACAACAGGACACCTCTACACTCTTCTATTTAGATGGGTACATTTAGTTACCATCGTGACTCCTGTTCTGTCCTTTGCCTGTTTTCATTATTTTTCCTCTGTATTGAAAAGCAATACATTTTTACTACTGGGAACAGTAAAAGCTGCTCCTGCCAGATCCTCGTTTTTCCACATCTCCTTTTACTCTGTAGATGCCACCTTCACCACCCATCTGTCACATTCCCACATCTGTACAAGGGTTTGCTGGGTTCCTTTATGTTTCAAGAAAACAGGCTTTTGAAAAGTCTGTTGGCTTCCAGAGGTAGTTGCACAAACCAGCCTTGTGCTAGGTCTCCTGTATGAGAACTGACAGAACCGACAGCTGGTTGTAAAAAAAGGAAAGTGAACTATGCCAAAAATTTCACTTTCCAAATGGAGCAAAATGCCTGTTTTACATGAACAAAGGGTTTTGACTATTCCTTGTTCAGGCCACCCCTTGGTCTTTTAATGACGTAGAGATTTGGATTGCATCCCCTTAATGAGTATTGACCGAGTCTGTGGTGTCCTTTTCCTGGGGGGGTGTGTGAAAGTAACATTAGCTGTAATGTGCTAGAGAAACGGAGCTCCAGGACCTTTCCAAAATGCCTGGCCACTGTGATTAACCCGTTCTGTGTTTCAACAGGCAAATGGTATGTGGGAAGTTAACTTTCCAAGCACAGCTGGATGTTGCAGGAGCAGGCTGGTGCTTCCCAAACATTTGAGCAGTTACCGCTTTACAGCTGCTGTTCAGACACAGACATGAGAGAGTGTACGCTGCAGCTTTCTTTTTCCCAATCAAGGTATAGACAGACCTTTTGAGTATTACGAACGCAGCCCTAAAGGTTAGTCAATCTCACGGTATTTATGTTGAGCTTCAGATCCTGGTCTCCCTTCTACGTTTACCTTGATTAACAGTTGGTATGGTGCTACGGACATCTCTGTGGCTTTAAATGCACGGAGACAGCCAGTTCCAGCCAGCCTCTGCCTCATGCAGCTGGGCAAGGAGGAAGAGAAGAGAGCTTTAACCCGGGTTTCCACACAGCCTCCCCACCTCTCATGTCCTCTGAGTGGCCGGTGGCCACCGGTGTAACTCCGAGCAGGCGGACCTGCTGGTGGAGCTGCCAAAGAGCCGTCCTGGCAGCCCGTGCTCGGCGGGCACCTCGCGCCGCTCCTCCCTCGGTGCTGGGGCTGGGGACACCACGGGCACGGCGTCTCCTGGGGCAGCTCTCCCTTGGCGGGGGTTTCCCTCCAGCCGGCACATCTCCTGTTTGGGATTTGGACACCGTTTCGTTCGCCTCACCTGTCGCACTAGAGGTGGTGTCCAGGGTACGCGTTAGCATCCCCTCCTCGCGGCTCTTACAGCTTTGAAGATGCGGCAGTGCTCCGGCCACGTCCCCACCGCAGCCATGCAGCGGTGTGGCAAAGGGGCTGCGCACCGCGGTCGTGCCCGATACGGCCCCCGCGGAGGGGGACTGGAGGGAGAGGGGAGGGGAGCGCGGCGGGCAGGACGGGGCGCGCGTCCCTTCGACGGGCGTCGGAGCGGAGGGAGAGGCGAGCCCGCTCCGCTCGCTCAGGCTGGGGTGATGGCAAAAGGGAGATCCCGGGCTGCGAGTTGTGAAACCGTCTGATCCATCGCTGACTAACGTTAAAACATGAGTTCCAGAATGTGTGGCAAAATGTAATATATGGTTTATAAGCTGTTTAAAGGCTCCTGACGAAGGGGAGGATTATAATAGTCACTTCTGAAGGGGTGAGAGGCTTGGTGTGTTTCATGTGAAACACTGCAGGTTGTATTTTCCCATGAGATTTGCCAACTTCCTACAAAGTACATTAGTACGTCACAGGTTCTTGGTGATGTGGTGTTGTACACATTTACACCTCTCCTATTTTTCATGACACTTGCGTTATTGTAAGAGCTCCTGCAACTGAGAACACTAGGGGATTTGAACGTTTTGCCTACCACATCTTCTGTAGGAAGGGAATTGTTTTATTCCAGGGCGTTGCATTGAGTGGGCACCAGCGAAAGACCCGGGAATGAGAGGAGGAGGAAAGAGAGACTGGTGCTAGGTGTCTGCAGCAAGTTGGTTAGGATAATCAGCTAGAGGGCACCAATGAATATTTCTTCTTAGGGCTGTTAAATTAGGCCATATGGCCTGCCAGCATATAGATGCATGAGAGAAACGTGATGGCTTTGCGAAACAGTTGTGCTAAAAATAATTTTTGGTGTTATTTTTAATAATGTTATCACAGATGAAGAAAGTGAGGTAGAAGTTTGTAGCCTGGGACATTTCTTTCTCCTGCTTTACAGGGTAAATACTATAAATCCTTGAGTGTTTGTTTGGCTAGGTAATGCGTTCTAAAAGTATGTCAATGAAGTAGGCATCAGAGTCATAAAATACTTTCCTATATTTAGATTTTAAATATGCACTAGAAAGTCATTAACTTTTAGACTCCCAAGCACCAAAATTGCTTCTGAAAAGGGGGCTTGGTTGTTAAAATCGGTTAATTAAAAAAATAAAGATTTTAATATTGCCAGAAATGCAGAGTCAGTGTTTCACCATCAGCAGTGTTAGTAAGCTCAGTTATATTCTAGTAAGTTTGGTTGCTGTGAGGGCATGAGGAAGATCCCGAAACTGTTGAAGGTGGCAGGAGCCACCAGGGTTTACCAGTTGACTGGTTAATTTAGAGGATTATGTTTTTAACTTGATATTAATGCCAAAATAAATCCAGTTGCACAGAATCATAGAGTAATTTAGCCTAGAAGGGATCTCTGGGGGGGTCATCTTTCTAGCCCCTGCTCAAAGCAGGTGCATGGTATATGGTCTTGCATGTCGTCGATAATTTACCTTTACATGGTTTTGATTTGTGCAAGAAAGATTAGCTATTCAGGTCTTTTTTTGCGTACTAGAGAGGCAAATGCCAAAGAGGGGTAAAAATGAAGCCAAAAGTATTTTACAAAGAAGTTGATCCAGATAGTGTTGAAGCATCAGCAAAATATCCCACACCATTTCACATACGTTGATTTTTTTTATTTTTAGAACAAACATTGCTTTTGGATAGCACAAGGGACTTAGTTTGAGCATTTGTGAATTAATTTTAAATTGTTCTTTTCATTGCTGTCCAATATACAGGAGGAATTGGTAAATAGTAAGAGCAAAGGCTGAACAGCATTTTATAGCCAGTGGTTCTGTTTAGACTTAATCCCTATAATGCAGTGTTAAAATTTACAAAACAGCTTGTAATTGCAGTAGCTTATTTAAACCAGCTATTTGTGGTTATGTCTGCTGAGGAAACTTAAACTTCAACGTTCCCCAGCCATCTAATAGCAGCAAATTGACTGCGGGTCTCTTGTAAGAATATCTAAATGTAGGCTGTTGAATAATCCCTTTGGGGGCCCTGTAACTATTTTTGTGCCTGGATATGCGTCATCAGTGGGTATTTTCTCTGGTGACTAGCTTACATCAGTAGGTCTCCTACCATGCACTCTATCAGTGAGTGACTTATGATTGATGGGAGTCACGGCTGCTGTTTAGCTTTTATCTGTGACCTCCAATAATGGACAACAGGAATTTCCAGGCTGTTAAATTCCTTGAATGACTGAAGACACAGGATGGCTCTGCTGATAAATGCAGGTAGTACCCAGATACCGGGTGTTCACCGGGGGCCGAGGCGGGGAGGAAGGAGAGGGGGGTTCCTCGGCTGCAAGGCGGTGAATCCGCTGCGATGCGTAGCCGAAAGGTACGCTTCCCCGGATGCCGGGGAAGCGGCCGTGCCGGAGGACCGCCGAGCGACTGCGATGCTCTGACTAACTCTCCCGAGCTCTCCAGCCATACGTGTCCGCCGGTGGTAGTGGCGTTTCAATGTGTTTGACTGGCGGATCTTTAGGGCAGCTCGTCAGTCCGTTTTATCCCAGGGAGACACGCAGTTTGCAGCTCTGTGAAGGGAAGTGCTGTGGAATTTCAGCTGCAGCCCGGTTGTTTCCTTAACCCTTTTTGTTACTGCCCACGAGCAGCGAGCGGATTTATTGGAGTGCTTAACCCAGGTGCTCTCTGGGCTAAATCTGAAGGTGCAGTAGGCTACATGATTTTAAGGTTAAGTTGCACCTGCCACAGTGACCCACTGAGGATGCGGTCGTAGTTCATTTCCTGGTGTTCAGTACCTCATTTTATGAAAATAAGGACTGCAGATACTGAGTTATCCCCTCTCTCTCCTTCCACTCTGCCTTTCTGTCAGAAGCTGACGTGCAAAATGGGGCTGCAAGACAGCTATGAGATTTTTGTGAGTGTTACCTGTAATGAATTTAGCAGCTTGAGTCAGCCCTACGGCGTGGCGCTTTGTCGTTTCTTCTTCTTTCCCCCTGTTCTTCCCGTCCCTCCCAGGCTCAGTCCCTTTGATACAGCTGTGCTAGGAAACAGGAGATCAGCTCTCCGTGAACTCGAGCTCAGAAGTCTCTCAAGCCCTTCTCCTGGCAACCGAGGAGTCAAAATGACAGACATGGATGCTCTCGGTCTGACTGGTGATTAAAAAAGTCCTTAATGCTGTTTATCGCGTGGCGTTGTTTGGCTGAGGGAGGATAGCAGCTGGATCCAAATTCCTCCTCACCACTTCTTCTGTTGGCAGGTGGCCCTTCGCTCGGGCTGGGCTTGCAAACTCTCGCACCGGTCTTACTTATTTGAGTGCCTGCTATTGTTTTTGACTCAGGTGACAGCAGGCTGGGTTTTGTGCAGGATTTTGAGCCTTGAAAACTTTCAGAGGGAAAACAGAAGCTTTGTTTTAACTCGCCTGTGTGTCTCCTCCTCCGCATGTACTAGCCCAGAGGTCGTAGTTAATGAATGAAACCAGAGTTCCTGCAGGAGCCACTTAACCCACGTCTGTGCATTTGTTGACACAGTGCTTACATAAAGCTGCTTTCGGCAGCAGTGCATGTGCTGTTGTAGCGTGGATGCCCTCACTCCGAGGGATACAGGTTACGGATACCTTTCCATTCCTTGCGGACAGGTGCCTGGTGCAACGCACGCACTGGGGCTGAAGCAAGTTTCCTCATCTGCTCTCTGGCTAGTTGAGTGCTGGTTAAGAACTGCATTCGACAGAAGTAGTAGGAAGAGAAGCGGCAATTAAAGAGTCTTGGAAGAACAAGGGAGAGGAGGGAATGAAAAGGTTTTCACTGAACTGTGATTTAAGAGTATACCCTTCCTTTGTTTTTATATCTTTTTTTTTTTTTCCAGTGACTTCAATAAGACTTTGTGATTCATGACAATCTGGTTATATAATTCAAAATCTGTAAAAGGTTAAGCACAAAAAGCTTGATGAATCTTGAGTCATTTGCATTAAAATTCAGTGAATTTTTTTGGGGTACTGTGCTTAGAATGTAAAGCTTGCTAACTGGTTGATGTTGCTATATGTATTATTTGCCACAGCTTTCTAGGAATCATTATGCCCAGCTACACATTAATATCTTTTGGCTAATATTGACCTCCTTTCCCCCCATTTTTAGGGGGATTGTATTTTAGGGTAGTGGTAGTATTTTAGGGTAGCTTTTTTTCAGTGTTTGTGCAAAAGCTCAGCATCACCAACTTTCAAGAAAGACTCCGCAGACCTTTGAAACATTTCAGAAAGGGTTGTCGTTTGCTAGGAAAAAGCATTAGCAAGTTGCCTGCCACTCCCTGATGCTTGGCACTGGGGCTGTCTGCAAGGTGGAGGGCTGAAGTCCAAACTGACATGTGGCAATGTGTGTAGGTACCTCCTTGTGTGCTGTGACAGAGGTGATGTGTTGGGGACAAACTAATTTAGGTGTTGACCCTGCAGTGAAGTCACGCCAGGCGGATGCCTGGGTCCATATGCCTGCACCCTGTTGACTTCAGTGACTAAGTGCAGGCACCAAGTTCTGCTTGCACAGCTTGAATTGAGGAACGATGACCATGGTGGCTAAAGCTGCCTTTTTCTGCAAGAGCCTTCACCTATTCAATGGCCACCTTTAAAATCTTGTCAGTCGCCCTGGACAACAACAACGGCTAACCAGATATTTCATCTTGGTAGTTAAAATAACAAGGTGTTGTGAGCAAGGGATGCTGCACGTTCACTGGAAGTCAAAGCATCTGCTGCTGCATCTTGTAGTAACTCCTTCAGCAAACCTCTTCCTCCTCCAGTGAAGCGTGTTGGTGTTTCAGTGTGCAACTAGTTCCCAGTGGGCACAGGACTGTAATTACCATACTTGGGAGGTGAAAACGAAGACTGAATCTGACACAGGAATATCAGGGGCTTTATTTTGAAAATTTTTTGAAGATTAAATACAATTCATTTCTCTCCTACCTCTTAAATCTATGAATGCATGCTCTGTACGGCTGCTGTAGCGTCGGATATTTGTTGAGGGTCTTAACAATGAATCGGTATTTAATAGTTTTGTATCGTTTTGACACAGTACTCTCAGTGCTTAGAGATGCTTGAGAATAAAGAGATGCCCTGGGATGGGAAGAACAGCAAAGATAATACAAAGCTCACCTTGCCCATGGCCCTCACTTCTGACAGTACTATTTTGTTTGAAGAGTGTATGGAGCAAGCAATGCTGCTAAGTCCTTGATGAAATCATTAATGCAGGTAGAGATATGTTGCTACTGTGAGCCCACTACACGTTGTAGAAGTATTCTGAAATACGAGGCAAAGTCATGATTTGCCTACTTCAGGACACATGGCATCTTCTGACTGTGTTAGTTCAAAATCATCTTATTAGTCATAAATAGCTGATCTTTCAAGGTGATCTTTGTGTTTCCATAAAGTCCGACTGAAATTGTTGAACCAGTTCCCAGATACTAGGAAACTCCAGTTTTGGTCAGCTTGTGTGAGGAAGAGCTTGTATAGTTTCATTGGTTTGTTTGGGGTCTTGTTTCTTCAGGTGTCATGGAGGAAATATGGGTTAGCCATCGCCTCATTTAAACATTATTTTGCTGCAGGGGAAAATGAGGAGTTACACATAGACATTGTTGATGTTTGTAGTGAGCAGAGTAATAAAGAGCGAAGAGGAAGAAAAGCAATGCAGTGAAATAGTATAAGGAAAATACAGCGTAAAGAAAAGTTGGAAAAGTGAAAAAAGGTATTGGTATTTAATTTTTGTGGTATTTCATTTTTTTAATCCAATTGATAAGATAAATGAAGAGCCTTCTATCTTTTTGATGTTATTGTGTACTGTAATGTGAATGAATGGAGTGAAATAACACTTCAGCTCTTCCTACACGCTGTGTGCCTGATAACCTTGGTCCTAAAACCTTTGCTCATCAGCTCAGTCCTTCCTGCAAGCGGCCAGCAACTTTCATAAGACTGTTGGAGATCCAGGACCAGGCTGTCAGTAAGTTAATAGATTTGTAAATGTTACCCTGGCATCAAGTTAGTTTGAAAGGAATCCACCCATTTGTTTGCACATGGGGAAGAAGAGGGAAGGAAGATACTGCAGGTAAAGCCTGTGTACTGTGGCAGATGGGAACGTACCTCTTTTATGCCAGTAGCCTGGCACCAACTCCTGTAAACTGTGGCAAAGTCTTTTCTTCGTCTCCTGTTTTGTTTCCTGTATATACACAGCACAGTAATTCCTGCAGGGATTTTTGCTCTTGGCAGTATTTCTCTTTAGTGCCACAAAGTGAGCATTTTTCCTGCAGGACCTCAAACAGCTCAACAAGTGGTGTGCTGCCAGTGAGTCAGCACAGAGTCCCTGTCCATCTGCTCGCAGCCACCAGCACTCTCTCCCAGACTCCTATTTTCAGATGCAAAGCCATACGTGAATCCCAAGATAGAGGCGGGTAAGGGATGGGGTTATCCTGGGTAAAGAGGTCCCGTACTCCAAGGAGACAGCGAGGGAAGAAGCTCCCTTCCAATCCATGTTAAAATCTTCCCGAGGCAGATCCTGGCCCTTCACAGGATGTTCAGATTGGCTTGGAAACTTGGTGTAAAGGAGGCGAGAAAGAAATGTTGCACACTGACAGCCCCAGGAGCCTTTATAATGTCAGGACACCTGACAGTAGAGCGGTACTTCAAAATTATCACTGTCGTAAGGATTTACGTGATATGGCAATAGCTAATAACATGAGTGCAGTACAAGACACTAATTCAAGATTGCTGAGGAGTTTGCCAAGTGTCTGTGGTTTCATGTCATGACTTTGTCCCTTTGCAGACAGGCCTTTAGCGTTGAGGAGTTTTCCAGAAACTCGTCCAGCCTTTCTTTTTTTCAAGCACAATTGCCAGTTGCTACCCTGCTGGTTAGAAATAATAGCAACTAAGTTAAAAAATTAAATTCCTTATCATGTAGTCATGTTGTTTTCACAAACTTATTCCAACGTGCTCAAGGACAGACTCTCTGCAGTGTTCCTTCTTGTACACTTACTTATACTTTTAGGCAGTGAAGTGAATATATGTTTGGGAATTGCTCTGCATGCTGCTTGTGATGGTCTTTGTTCAGGGACAGAGGAGATATAAAGTCAGTTCCTAAGGTCCTGACATCTGCTGTTCCTTGCTTGGGAGGTAGGATAGCAATCTGCAGTGTGAAACTCCTTCCCATCTTCCAGGGAATTCCATTTCCCTATACAAAGGCCAGCCAGAAATCCTAATCTGAAATTCTGTAATTTGGAAGTGAGAAAGAAATGGGGTTATGTCAACTAGGAGACACAAAACTCTTTAAAGCCTCTTTCACTAATGTGCAGGGAGAAGTAATAGAAACCAAATTTTCTTAGTGTAACCAAATCGTGGAGCATCACACTGAGTAAAGAGAATAGGAACCTCTGAGGTTGCTTTGCTAGTAGATCTCCATCCTCTGTAAAGCTCGGGGCCATGTGCTGATGAAATACAACCTGTCTTTAAATGTGAACAGTGGTGATTTTTCACCCTCTTGACTCTTGACCAGGAGCTCAGGTCTCATTCCACCACAAACTTGCCGCTGGTTACAGAGGGAGCAAGGTTGCAAATCAGAACATCAGTTGTGCTTTTTAGTTTAGCATTTTCTACCTTGATTGCTATTAAATTGGATATCACAGTGGTAAAAGCATCAAAGCCAGGATCACCTAGAAGGGAATAGCAGTCTCAAAGAGGTATAAAGGAGTAAAATGGTGCAAATGAGAAAGAGGAGTATTAGGTTAACTACCAGGAAAAAAATCATTATGGTGAAGGTCTGTTCTCCTGATGGAAAGCAGAAGAGCTGATGAGTCTGAGTAACTCAGAAGTGACCTGGACAAAACACTGTAAAATATACTACATCGATTTTTCTTATTTGGGTACGAGATGATCTAATAGACTTTGGCCATTTCCTTTTTGATCTAATTTCTGAGATTCTATGATCACTTTTAAAAAAGGTCATTTTCTTGCCTGTCTCACTGCAAACCTTCTTCTTGAAAGTTTTTGGCACTTTCTACCACAAAGGGAGGCATTTGTAGAAATCCAGCATGGTGGTATTTTGAAGACTCAAACCAGATTTTTCATGGCCATATCTTGCCGTTGCTCCATTGTAAAATTCCCAGAATACTTGATGGGAGTTTTGCATTAAAATTGTATGGTATTTATATCTAGCTGCTCTTCAGAAGCCCAAGTGATATCCATGCTCTATTCCCAGAGTAGCCTTCATCCAGTTCTTTAAAGCTACAGTTTGGCTTTACAGGAAATAATAATCATGCCTACCATACTGTAACTAAAATATTCAGACACATGAATCTTTCTCTTGACTTCCTATAAAAATGTCATTTGTAGCTTTATTCTGTTTGTTCTGGTTTGGCTATAATATAAACAAGAGTTTATTAAAGCATTAGCTCTAAGTTGCAGTTCTTTCTTGAGACTGCAAGGTCTTACAAAAAATATTATTGAAACTGCAGGGCAAAACCACGTATTAACAGAAAAATGAATAATGAGTCTGTTTTCATATGGATTTTTTAAAAAGTACAGCTTGTAGTTGAACTAAATGTACTATTCCTTCCACTGGAGCCAGGAAGCCCTCATAGACTTTTGACAGCGCCGCCAAAAAATTAATGCTTCAGCTGTTTAAAAGATATCAAAAGCTTGCTTGACAATTGTAATCTCTTCCAGGAATTTCCTTTCCCATTTTCCCTCCCTATAAAAACTGATAACAAGATGCTTATATAGTAGAAATGGAAAG